GAAAGCTCATTGATGTCACACATGGGAATGACTGCGTGAAGTCTCAAGGGCAATGACTGTAGAGCTCTGAAGAACCATTTTGAAAAATGTGATTCTTTTCAATTTTCCACATTGCATTCAGATCCTTATTGCTTCCATTTTCAAATAGAATTAAAAGGAGTAGTTTTAAAAAATATTGACCTCTTTTTTAATTTACTCTTTTCCCCAAAAATATTTGTAGTAAAATATTGTTTGTCAGAGACACTAAATTTGATGTTATAAAAAGGATCTGTAAAAATATTTTACTAGAAAATGTATTATTAACATCATAAAATTATTTTCAATATACCACACAATTAAGAGAAATTTAATAGCTTTCATTCCGTATCTTATTTTGAAGATTTTAGATAGGTATTCTATTACCTTAGTAAGGTAGAGGCTTTTTACGAATACCACAACCACATATTTTCAACCTCTATTTCCACAAAGTTCGGAAATTCCACTATCGATTAAACTATGGTGGACACATGTTTGATCCTTCTGAGATTATTATTATTAATAATACAAATAAATCACATCACCAGGCAGTCAGAATGTTCCCTCTTTTTTTCTAAGACGATATATTTTAAGACTTGCTTTTACACAGGTATTTCTATAATGATTATTATGAAACTAAGATTATAATTCTATTATTGGTTTGTTTTAAATACATCAACACTGAAAGTATTTCAATGAAATTTAAAATATTTTAGTTCGATATAAATCCTTTAACCTTAATGTACAACAATTTTATAGTGCGTGATATTTAAAATTAAATAAATTACTTAATGATGAAACATTTAACGTCACAAAATGGTTTGGAAGAAAAATTAGTAGATTGTCAGCGGTAAGAATATAAAATGCATGGTTGTGAGATGTAGAGATCAACAAGAGGAAGTAAAGAAACATTTTTATATGTGATAAGAATGTAGCTAAAACATTTCTATGGTATTATAATATAGTCAAATGTTTTTATGGGTAGAGAACACTTCGAGTGATGAAAAGAAAATTTATATTTTCTCGTTTTAACATTTATTTATAGAACTAAGCATTGTATGTCACCTGGTTTACAAAAAAATTTGGTAAAAATAGTGAGATCAAACAGTATGATTATACGAGACATTCCAATAAATTCCATCAAACTGGTCTTTCTATGATACACGATAAATCTTTCTATGGTATTAAAATGAGTTCTGTATTTTACCACCATCTTTAGTATAATCCATTTTATAGTTCAGCGGTTTTGGTCAAAATAAGACGAACTGGCAAACTGAAATAAACTGTCTTATTTTGACCACAACTAATAAACTACGAAATGGATTATTGTACCAGAATGTATAACAACTCGCCTGATAAATTAAAGAAAGTACAAAATATAAGAAGGTTAAAAAGAGAGGTAAGAAAGTACACAGTGAAAAAAGTAGTTTTTAAAAGAAATTAATGTAAAAAGTTTTTATTTCATAATTTATTGTATATATAAGAAGTTTAATATGAATCCGGTGGCCTTTTTTGTATTCCTAAATTAAGTAATTAGTTAAGAATTAAATTAATTAATTAAAAGCTTCAAACCAATCCATACTTCAAAATACATCTGATGGTATGTTTAAAAACCATTATTTGGCACGGCTTGAATCTTTAGTCAACTGTGCTATAACCAAAATATTGCAATAATACTACGATAACACGCAAGATATTCTAAAAAACAAACAACAAAAATATACACGATGAATATTTTTCTTCTTTTTAACCATTGCCATAACAATAATGAATCATGGTAAATACAGCGCATTTATTATTTGTGATAAAAATACGAAATGCACCGTGTTCTGACCACATGCGAAATTACCAACTGCGAAGAGACACGAGAATTTATTCACACATGTTCACAACCTCCATAACCCGCGTCGTGTTGCCCCCACACTCCTCTCTCCGCACAGCAACGAGAGAGTATATTTTAACGACAGCATTAAGAAGTTGCTGCACTAGCTTCACAAAAACAGAGCGCGTCACAAGTGTTTACGGCGCGTTCACCAAGATTCACAGCGCGCGTCTTCGCGTGTTTACCTCCATAACGCGTGCTTTATACTGTTGTTTCTGGAAAAAACACCGCAAAAAAAGAAGGGAATACGGCGTACAAATGCCACGGCGGGACATTCGCGAGGTCCCTCTGAACGACTCACGTAAAAATTGAGAATAGAAACAGAGCGAGATATAAAGAGGGCTTTGAACGGTGCTCTCGATATCAGGGGGACGTTATGTCGACGCGTTTATGGGATGCGAGCAACCCAAAGTGCCTGTGGAAAGGGACGAACCGGGCATGCAGAAGGACCGATATCACAGCCATTTATGACTTCCGCGAAACAGGGCTGCCCAGCTGGGGAACATTATGAAAACTCCTTGTTCTCTAAAAAAAAATAGAGTAAAATCCATCAACAGAAAATTATAATTTTTTCACCTCCTACATTTTGCATCCCCTAAAGCTTATTCTCCAAAAAATCAAATAAATTACGTCAACAGAGTATTATAATTTTTCACCCTCTAAATCAGTGACGCAAGAACTAGGATCAGTTCATGGATGTGTAGTCAGAGGCCATGGGTTGATCCCAAGTAAGGTAGGCATTCAGGAATGGGGTACACAAAAGAAATCAAAATAGATCAAGAAATATTCTCGCAACCGAAAAATACCATGCTATTAATTCGATATCCATAGCTGATGCTTATGTTTAGAAATACGAGCGCTGAAACCTTAACTTGTGAAGCACAGTCCTACTGGGCGAAAACAAATATTTGATGGAATAACATCATCATTTGAGGTGTTTATGAACAAAAAATAGTATTTTAATTCTTATATTGGGGGTCCTAGGTTCAAGAATTTTTATGCATTTTACAGGATACGTTTCTGTGTACCCTTAGTGATAAGAATGAATCTTATGAGATACACCGCAAAATATTAGTTTGCATTGATTGCAATCCGTGCAAATTATTATTAAATTCTAATAATTAAAATAATCCGCATGTCCTGGCTACATTTGCCATTTGGTCGGAGGGTTTTAAAGGCAATTCTGAGGCACTCTGCACTACGGAGAATACACTGTGCGGGTTGTTATTCTGCAAGCTTCAGAGGGTGTTTCAGGAAACAAGCGACCCAGCCAGCGTATGATTGTTAAATCCATTTTAATAATCAGTGAAGAAACATTTACAGAACAGTTTCGTGAAAGCCATGTTCATTTTGCAATTAATATGCATTTAGTTCACCTATTCTAGTTACGTAAAACCGTTAGAAAACGCAGTCACTTACTGCGTATTCTAATCTCTCTGGTTTCCATTGTGGTGGCATGGAACATTAAGTAAATGAAAGACTATTGAAATCAAACAGATTTAAAAATTTTGAATGAATTCAGTGAAAGGAAAATAAAATGATTTCAGACAAGCGTATTATTTGTTGAATAAGTGTGAGGAAAAAAAACATTGTAATTGAAGTCAACTTGATTAAGAATCAGTCAGAAAAGTGTTAAAGAATTTTGATAGTGTTTTCATGTAACAGAAGTAGGAATTATTAATTGTTGTAAGTTCACTGAAAAGGTACGATTATAGAACTCAAGAAGTGTTTTACTACGAGGGAGCAATTTCCGAAGTCATTGATTTCATGTGTTTGTTTTTCGTTTTGTTGTCCTATTTGTGTGAGTGTAAACCTTGCAGAATGAATGTGCAATTGGATAAGGGATATCTTGTTGTTTCTTGTTCAATTTCCAATTTCAGAGTACGACCTGAATGGCCTTGAGATACACCTAGTGAAAACATTAATGTGTGTGGACTGTATTCCAATATATCATAAGCATTGTATATTTTCTTTCGATAAGTGACAGAAATGTACGATTTATGCATGCTTCATGGAAAAGGTGTTGCAAGAACAATGATTCATTTGATTTTGCTTCATTAGCAAAGATCTATAATTCTTATTCTGCTAAATATTACTAAATCCACTATTTGTTTGAATTTACTTAACTCAGAATTTTCCTAATTGTTTGTTGAATCCTTCTTGAAAAGTATGTGAATTTTGCTGATGTTAATTCAGTAAAACGTATTGGAGTTGCAATCGTTTAGAGTAGCTATGAGTATTGATACGAAATACGAGGTTTACTATGCGTGAAGTAGCATAAATACCCTCAAAGAATTATCAGTTAACAGTTAAATGCCCCTTCAACTCTCTAAGAACAAATATGATTCTAGTTTATATGCATGCATTTTGGAAGGTAGGAAAATTCAAACATTCAATCCATATTTCGTATGTTTACGTGTAAAATTCCTTGACAAATTAATACTTGCTTTTGGTACAGTCTAACAGGTCACACTAAATATCCAATATGGTGGCTGTCAGCCAGTATCGCCAACATCTGAACCCAAGGGCTTCAACCTAACCCGCGATATTCAAAGGGACGGATATTCGGAACGAATTGCACTGCGGATTTTATACATTTTTTCACGTTTTCTTCATTTTTAAGGTTTAGAGAGTAGGGAATAATACACTATTCATAAGTGATCAATCCGCAACAAATTATATGCATTTAATACATAAGCTTTATCATTATTTGGTTGTAAAAAAATTCCTGGAAATCCCTAATATATTATGTATACATGGAATATTTCTTTTTAATTTATTAGTTTTCGATTTTACATTTATTATTTCAATGTTTCTTAAAACTGAGTGTTTTCCCTCTTTAGGTTCTATCAATGGTTAAAATATTTATTAAAATAGGCAGATAAAAACTACAAAACCAAGATCAATTTAACATTATTACTCAAACCAACTCTTATGAAAAGTAACAATCAACATAAACAAATACATACTACAAAAATTTCAAAAATCAAATAGCAAAATTTCAATTTAAAAGTGACGTTTGGTAAGTATCTTAAGACTAAATATAGCAGGATCTTGATTAAAAACTAATATAGGTTTGAATAACAGTCAACTGTAACTTACCTGTAAGTGTCAACTGTATCAAATCTGGTTTCACTGTAAAAATATTGTCTTTTAATTCAACAATATCTGCTCCAACCTGTTTCCATATCTGCTCAAAAACCTGCAACCCAGAAAATAGAAGAAATATATTAATGTTGATATAGCAAATACAAAATGTGTCAGAATAAAGGTTACGAAGTTTTGGAGATGTAGAAGGGTCGAAAAGTATCACTTTTTACAATGAATTACACAGGAAAATTGCATATAAGGGAGCTACATGTATGTCTACATGTTAAATACACCCCTGGATTTCAGGCAAATTATTATGCACGTTTTCTCGCAGGCAAGGAGATTTCAAATATACAATGGACATCAATGCATGAAATTGGGTTGCCTAAAATTAGGCACAAGTGCCACATGCATAAAAGTTGTAACTCCTTTATATGTTGTTTACAGTATATATTGATTGATCAAAGGAGATCATTTTCGACTACTAAGGCATCGATAATTTCTGCTTCCTTAGACGTTTGCAACATTTGAAGGGCTTAGGAGTAACAGGTGGTGACACACAAGGTTATAGTTTTTTTATATTAAAAATTTCGTATTCTTTCGTATGCGCCGTGATTACCAAATAGTGTCAAATGGCCAAAATTTGTTCCCTGCTGGTGTCGTTTTTATGTATCTCATGTACACCACTTCCAGCAAAAATGTTTACGAGCTTCTATTTCGCAAATTTTCTACGTGGTTTACCATATTTTATACTCGAATCCTTCATTTACTCTGAGACATTTTGTGTAAACGACTTAAATTAGAAATGGTCTAAATCTAAGAGAATTCATGAAAGAAAATGTCGATAATGAGTCCATGTTAGCGGAGAGTCAAAATATTTTTGCATGAAGGGTAATAGCTATGTGGTGCACACATACTGCAAAAAATAAAGAACAAATATAGTACTTTTTAGGTGAATATAAGTTTAAAAGGGGTTGAAATGTCCTATTAAAGCATTGGTAGTTCAGTGTACGATGCAGGGAGGTGATTAAAATGTGTTGCTACACGTGTCTCAAAATAAAATGTGTCTCAAAACAAAACTGCGAAATGGCTGCTTCAATAAAATACTTTAGAAATCAACATAACTGACTAACGTTTTCTTCCCTTACAATCTTTCTATTCAAATTCTTTTTCCATAAAAGTTTTCCTCAGTTTATAAAATTTTAACTTTCTTACTAATCTCAGATTTTTTACTCTTTGTTACAATTTTCCTTCAACGTTAAAAAATAGTCTTTCATTGACACGAAATGGAAGGATTCTTTTCTCTAGTTTCAAACATGGTTTCTGGGTCAATGACCCCCATCTCGATCAGATTTTCTTCCAGTTTTCGTGATACTCGAGCAAATGTTGATATAGCCCCTTGTTTTGCTTCTGGACATAAATGTAACTTTAAATTAACTTCTCCTCATAGCACGCCACACACAGTTTTTAATTGTTTTTGACGTAAATAAATAAATAAATAAATAAAAGTAGAATAGACGGTAACACAATTTATGGAGAAAACCCTTCCAGAAAATCATTCATTTGGGTGCGAGAAATAAAATAAGTGCATTAAACCTGGAGCCCGAATTATATTCAACTAATATGTCGAATATTTCTGATCAGAGAAGAATATTTCATTTTCATTAATGCATAATGTACGTACATGTCAGATGCTCCGACATGTTCGCAGATACTAATTATTATTTTTGTTTTCAGGTACGTCATTCCTGGAAAGAAATGAAATGTGACAGCTACACAAAGACTGTGAGTTTTATAGCAATAAAACTATTTTTAATACATATGAATGGGATGCATGTTTATTCAGTATTATTTTTCTAATAATAATAAAACTGTTTTTCCGAATTTTATTCATATAATACTTCAACCAATAACTCACAATATTTCAGATGGAGAGTTATTTATTTAACAATTGTCCAGCTACAGAAAAACGTCGCCTTGCGTATCGTAATAACCTACATTGTGAAATCTGAAACACTTTCTTGGGTAATATTTTGAGTCACAGCTCTCATATTTGTTCTCAATTGCCACGGTTGTTCAAACGTATTCAAGCAAATCAAAAAAGGAATTATAGGAACAAACCTATATACTCAATACATATTAATTCACTTTCATATAAATGTCTGTGTTTCGTTTCCAAATTATTCATTCAAATCCTGCGATAGTGTGTATTTTCAATTATGTTTTAATCAGCAATAAACAGATTTTGTTATCTAATACATATGTTTTGAAACGAATGTTTTATTATGTATTATTTTCTTGTACTTATATATTTTATTTGCATAACATAAATTACAAATAATATATAATATATAATATATAATATATAATATATAATATATAATATATAATATATAATATATAATGTAATAACGTTATAAGTAGATGCACTTTCGCTCTTAGAAATGGCGGTGAACTATATTTCTCATAATTTTTCATTTAGAATGGTGTCTTCCAAACGCCAATTTAATGTAAAAACTACTTGCAACACATATTTCTGAATTATTCGCATGACATCTGAACATCAAAGCTGCAGTACACATATAAGCATTGGTAAACCGTGTTCATTCAAATTCCCATTTTGATGTTAACAAATTCTGTAAACGTCATTTTATTTTTAATATGTTTCCGAAAAAATTAAAAGGCGATGTTCTTAAATATTTCTATTGACTTGGTAAGAGCCCGAAAGTCCACGAACAATATATGGTTTGGTTGATGATAGAACGGTAGGGAATCGAAAAACCAAACTCAAAGAAGAGTGGAATGACTAGGGAGTATTATACATATAACATGTCATTTAAGTCATCAAATAATCACAATAAAGTCCTTTGTGACACATCAAAAGAAGTTTAAAGGTCAAAATAAATTGACGTACACAACATTCAAACCTCCAACTCTTGTTAGAAATATTAAATGAAACCAAATCGCTTCATGTTCCTGTCACGCAGTTCTGTTAATAAAAATTATATTTCATGAGTAATATTAATAGCGGACAAACGCAATCGTAAATGTATTGAGTGAAAATGTCTTTTCAAATTCTTCAACATTGTGATAGCGTTATGTAGTTTTTCGTTTTAAATAGTAATAGCCTAACGTCAGTTATCGAAGATTGAATCAAGGCCCACACAATAGGAACAATTAAGGGATCTTAATGGTAGAAAAGAATATTCGTATAGACAAAAGTAGGCATAACATATAGGTTTGTGGGAAAGTTTGTCCTTTGCCTCATCTTCAAAGATAGAAATTTATAAATGTTCCGGCGTTTTTCTAACATTACAATTATGAAGATATTTTGTTAGTGAAGTGTGTTTATCAGAAACATAACACCCTAAAAGGTGTTATGGAAAACAACGTTAAATTCTTAATATGTGCGATTCAAAATGTTGAGAAACAAATTAAATAAAATAAACGATGATGTAATATTATGGTATAACAATTCAGGCAGATGAAAGTTAATGTATTTCTGAATTATTATTTACCTCAACCCACGTAACCACTTAGGTATATTTTGATCGGAACTAGAAGGGCAGATGTGGTTCAAACACCATTTGCATTCCTCGTCTCATTAGATCCAATAGTCATCGTTTCCGCTGCTCTATGAAAAAGTAATGACGATCGTAATGAGGCCATAGGCGTCAATCAGCTCGGAGGTAATGCGCGTTGCGCGTCCGCGGTGGGCGTGGCCCGAGATGGCCGCCGGAGCGCGCGGCCGCCGCCGCCTGCGGCCCATTGCCGGGAGCGGCGCGCCGCGTAATTAATTGTGCCGCCTCCTGGGTACGAACACAGGGCGGCGCACAGCACCGCCTGGCGCGGAGGGACTGCCCACGCGGGGTGAAGCGGGAGGCAGGGAAGAGGCGAGGCAGAGCGGGATGGAGCGGGTGGAGTTGCGTAGAGAGGTGTGTAGCGTGATGGGGTCGGAGTGGAGTGGGGTGGAGTGGGTGGAGTTGGGTAGAAAGGGGTGGAGCGGAGTGGAGAGAGGTAAGAATGGGGTAAAGAGGGTGGAGCGGGGTGGAGCCGGGGTGGACGCGGGGGTGGAACGGGGTGGAGCGGAGCGGGACGGAGTTGGGGCGGGCGGGCGGGGGACGGGGTGTAGCGCGGACGGAGGGGGTGACGCGGGCTGGAGCAGGGTGGAGCGGGGCTGACCGTGGAGAGGAGTAGAGTGCGGGGTGGAGAGGAGTAGGCGGCGGTGGAAGCGGGGTGGAGCGGGGCTGAGCGGAGGGGAGAGGAGTGGAGTGGGGGTGAGCGGGGGTGGAGAGGGCTGGTTCGGGGTAGAGAGGGGTGGTGCGGGGAAGAGAGGGTGGGCGGAGTGGAGCGGGACGGATCAGGTGGTGAAAAAAGGGAGGAAAGTGAGAATGGACGGACGGGAGGGACACGGTGTGGCGGGGCCGAGCGATTCAGGTCGGAGAAGGATTATGCTGACAGGAAAACATGGAGACTGAGAACAGAGAGATGGGAGGGAGGGGAACCGGACAGGGCGAAGCGGGGAGAAGCGTGTCGAAACGAAGAGGAGTGGGGCGGAATGGGTAATAAGAGAGGTGAGAGGAATAACAGGAGTAGATCGGAGCAGAGAAAGATGGAGGGCATCGAAGTGAGGCGGGGCTTAGTACAGCGAAGAGGAACAGGACAAGGCATCGACGTGCGACGATGTCCGGTTGACGAAGCCGGAGCGAGGAGACGCGGGCCTGGCTGGTGTGAGACAAAGCGGAGAGTCTGAGGAGAAAATTTTCAAGAATACGGGAGATGGGAGGGGGGGGTGTCTGAAGATCTGGGAGTCGGAAGCGCGGCGCTGTAAGACGGAACGGCCCGAAGCGGGGCAGGTGGCCTAAACCGGATCTGTCAGAAGCGGCGCGGGGCAGTCTGAAGCGAAACGGCCTGAAGCGGAGCGGTCGCTCTGAAGAGGGAGCGGTCCGAAGCGCGGCGGAGGGTGCGGGTGGGAGACGTCGCGCATTGGCCGGACCGGCGCCGCCCACGTCCCATTGGGCTCCGCCGCGGCCGCCGCCCAGAGGCCGCCACCGGGGCCGGGCGGCGGCGGCGGCGGCGCGCTGTGGGCGGTGAGCGATCGCCGGTGGGGACGCGCGTGCGCTGCCGTCAGGCGCCGAGAAATGCGCGCCCCTAATTTACCCCTCCGACAGCTGCGCCGGGCCGCTCCTGCCGTCTGTCGCTGCCCACGGGTGGACGCGCGTCGCGATTCTTTGTGTTTTTCTTCCAGTGTTATTCGTTTGGGGACCTCTTGTGACCGAAAAATGGCCAGAAACATTTACAACAGTACAATTGCTCTGAAGGATAAAAATACCAGGTCTGGTCGAGTACGAACAACTGTTGAATGAACGAAATAACTTAGAGGCGATGAATGAAAGAATTATTGAAAGAAAGAAACGATTTAGCGAGAATAATTTATTAATGAAAAAATGATTGAATGAAGAAAGAATGATTGAATGAAAACAAAACAATTAACAAGCAAATGAATGAATAAATAGATCACACCCAATAAACATGATCAGTGTATATTCAAAAAATTGGTGTGAGATTTGGGAGCGATAAGCACAATTTCACATTACGCACGACGTCTTTAAAATGTATAACGAGTAAACTCAAATATGAATGTGAATCGTTTAACACGAAGGATTGAAGAGTTGGAAATCTGTATGCAGCGTAAAATACTTTATGGCAGGGATCGCTTATCCAACACACAAACCTTTTCAACCGGGAGAGATGTCTCAGGGAATCGACTTAAGTCACTCTGACCGGGAAGTATTTGGTTCGAGTCGCAACAGTGGCAGAATTTTCGATTCTAGCGTGTCAGCTAGGTCGAATTCAATCGCTGTCTGGTGGAAAACTCTACCGGCCGGCTGTTCTGATAGGTAGTTTTCCGTGGTTTCTTCGATCAATGCCAGGGAAATGCGAAGCGATACCCTAACAAACGGGTACCTTACCTTTCTCTTTCTTGGCCACGCCCCTTACACACACTTACACTAACATGCAGTACATTACCACACAGGCCGGGAGACCGGACGGGAGCTAAGAGCTGGTTCCGGCTGTGGTGGTATCCCGCTGGTGGGAGATACATGGTTGGGGAAAATCCCGCTGGTCGATGGTGGTTCGGCGCTGGATCTTACCATACAGCGAGTGAAATGCCAACTTCCGGACAAAACGCGCACTATGCTTAAGAGACTAATGACCTTCATAGATGACGTACCCGGAATCACTAACTATCAATGAGTCAAACTTGTTCAGCCTTTTCTAATTCGTCCAATTCACATTTAGTAATATTGTCCTAAATATTTAATACGCTGTCTATTAATTTATGAGAATTTAATTGACTTTTGTTGGATTGTAGTTTGTATAATTTGATTATTAATGTAATAGACAAAGAATATATTAATATATACAACGCATCTATTCAGAACGAGTAGATATCTCGTAAGGTTATTCTCAGATCGGCAATTTGTACTTACGGAACTAGAACTCATTTAAGTGTTTGCAGAATGAAATGATTATTTTTAAACCCTTAATTATGATAAAAACGTCCATGTTTACGACTTTAGAATTATTAGAAATAACTTGAGCGAGAAGGGGAGAAAGAGAGAGGGAGTGGGAGAAGGAGAGGAATAGGGAGAGAGAGACGGGGGGAGGAGAGAGAGAGAGAGAAACAACACAAACAATCCAGTAAGTCTCTGGAACCGTTCAAAACATGTCAAAATTAGTTCAGAATGAACAACTATTCAATTATTTTAGTGAATAGAGAATTACTTATTTCTCTGATTGCCTTTAAAATCTCGTAACGTGCAACGAGATTTAATGTAAGAGGATTACTAGAGTCAAATCATTCCTTTTAAATGTAGCACGGAAGATCACCACACGGCAGGAATACCTTATAAACGTAGCACACCGTTCATACTGTAACTGTATTAACACATCGCGATAAATGAATGAATTTGAATAGTGAGATACTGCTTTGGTTTCATTTAGTGGCTTGTTTTCAATAGAACAGGATTATAAGCATTGATTCATAGCATTATATTGGATAAATGTAGAATCAGTTTATATGGAAATTTATTCCCAACGATTTTATTTCCTAAACAGAGAAAGTATGTATATTGCTTGTAGAGGAAAGCTATTTGTAAGTATTCCTCTGGGGAACGTCATTGGCTTGCGAGTGCACATAAACATTTTTTATCTGGATCATCACGGGCAGCCGGTGCTAAAGCCACGTGAACGTGCGGCCGCTATTCACATGCAAGGAAATCGGACGCAGCAAAGAAGAGCGGATATCACGTAGAACGCCATCCGGTCCCATTCCGTCTGTGGAGACGTGGGTCAGTGTACACACACACACACACACACGGAAGTAGATAGCGATGAGTGGTATGTATACGTGCCTCAAAGATGAAATTTCAGCCAGCCACAAATTACAGAGCTCCAACGCGCCGAGCTTGCGGTTTCAAATTCGAAAGGGCGGGGACGAGCGAAGAGAAGAGGCGGGGAGTGCATTAGAAATGCTAATGCGCCAGATGCGGGCGGGAGAGCTCGGCCGGACAGATACCGGCGCTGCAGTCCGCGCCCGCCCGCCCGCTCGCCCCTGCTCGCCCCGGGCGATACCGCCCGCCAAATTACTGGTTCGGACGCCGCGCCGGATGCGGCCGCGCACGTATTTCACCGCTCCTTTCGCCCCGCTCCGTCCCGCCCCC